AACCTGGGAACACGTCTAGTCATCCCTTCCCTCGTCTCATTCCTCACCCAACTTTTGCTGATACTGTGCAGAGACACAGCCGTTTCACAGTCTTCCTCTTGAGTTTTCTTTTTATGATTTATTTCTTTTTTTATTTTATGTGCATTGGTGTCTTGCCTGCATATATGTCAGTGTGAGGACATCAAATCCCCTGGAACTGGAGTTACACATGGTTGTGAGCTGCTATGTGGTTGCTGGGAATTGAACCCAGGTCCTCTGGAAGAACAGCCAGTGCTCTTAACCATGAGCCATCTCCCCAGCCCCCATAAGGCTTGAGTGTTCAACTGGGCATCTGAAAAGAAGCCCTCAGAAAGGCAGACCACTAAAAGGGGCGAGGCAGGCAGAAGGTGGACGGCCAGTGTTCCCTGAGGCCTCCTCACACTTATATTCTACGTACCACAGACTGAAGCATTCAGACGTGGGTTCAAGGCTGGCAGGGGTCAAGATGTGGGAAATTGGCTTAGGAACAGACGGGGACAGCTCAGCCCTCTCACTCCCTCTTTCCCAGGAGCTGAGCGCATTCCCACGGGAGGCAGGAGGCTCTGGGGCTGGGTTGCATCCTGTTGTGTACCCCTGCACGGCCCTGCTGCTGCTCTGTCTTTTCTCCACCATCATCACGTACATCCTCAACCACAGGTGAGGGCTGTTCCGGGGAGGTGGGGGTGGGGAGGTCTCGCCATAGACCGGTAGATGCTTCTCCTTCAGACAGGTGCAGGCCCTGGAGTTGGACAACCTATGGGGGGGAGGGAAGGTTTGTGGGAGGGGGGGAGTAGAGAGATGAAGGACAGCTTCCCCATTGTCTAGAGCACATTTATATACATGCTCATAGAGAACGTGTCTCCCTCTTTTCGGCTCTCCCAGTGGTCTTGAGACCCTGTGGGAGGTTGGACAGCTCATTAATAAAAGACTCTCTCCTGAGGCAGCTCCATCCATGTGTCCCGGAAGGGTTGGCACATGCTGCTGAACCTGTGTTTCCACATGGCCATGACCTCTGCTGTCTTTGTAGGGGGCGTCACTCTCACCAACTACCAAATGGTTTGTCAAGCGGTAAGAAGGGGGTGGGGACTCTAAAATATAGGGTGATTTTAGAGGAGGATCAGGGAAGCATAACAACAACAGCAACAAAAATAAGGCGCATGGGATCAGCCCCGGGTTCCTCTGTTCTCTGTGCTAGCTTTGTAGGGCTGGGGATGGGTGATGTGGAGAAACACAGGAATGGTCAGGCTAGCTCCAAGATCACTGAAGATGGGGCTACTAAGAGGAGAGTGGGGATTACAGTGGGGAGAGGTCTTGTACCAGCTGGACAGCTACACCTGGGTCCCGGAGGATCCCTAGGGTGGGAGAGGACCCTGGATGGAAGCAGAGAGGACACCCACCGAGGACCAGTGTGATGAGTTCCCTGGGTGGACTGCCGGAGACGTGGGAATAGTGAGAACATCCTTGGCCATTGACGTTCTGGAGTGTGGCCCAGGCAGCAGCTTGGGTCCCAAGCCTCAGTGCCTTGACCTTGTAGGTGGGCATCAGTCTGCACTACTCTTCATTGTCCTCGCTGCTCTGGATGGGGGTAAAGGCCCGAGTCCTCCACAAGGAGCTTAGTTGGAGGGCGCCCCCTCCAGAAGAAGGGGATGCAGCCCCGCCTGGTCCTCGCCCCATGCTCCGGTAAGTGCTTTCAACCGTCAGCTGTGAGAAGAGCCTCAAGACCCAAGACAGGTGTAGCAAGGCTGGGGTGGGTGGGGATGAGTACAAGATCCCTGGGGATCACCCTCCAAAGGCAAGAGGCAAGCTTCTCAGGCATGACAAGGGTTAGGGAAGGAGGTGGCACCAGAGGGCATTGGGCAAGGATATTTAAAAATATCCCTCACTTGCTTAGGTGGGGAGAGAGAGTGGTTTTTGGCCAAGCTCTGAAGAAGCTGTCCAACCCTTAGGGGTCTTCTATACCTCCCCCATCCCTCCTCCCCAAATCACACAGATTTAAAGAGAGCAGAGGAAAAGCCAGAGACATCAGTTTGAGAGTTCTGAGCACCTGGTTCCTTTATCTCCAGTGGTCCATCACTCTGACCTTCAAACCCCGCCCCCCGCCCCTCCCCCAGGTTCTATTTGATTGCTGGAGGAATCCCCCTCATAATCTGCGGCATCACCGCTGCGGTCAACATCCACAACTACCGGGACCACAGTCCCTAGTGAGCATCACTCCCTCCTGCCTCAACACCACCATCTTCCTGCCCAACCTTCACACCAGCCCCATGGCTGCTGTTCTGCCCAGCCAGAGAGCCCCTGCATGCTGACTAAGCCAGGTCCTGCCTCACCTCTCTACTTCCCACATCCTACCTCATCAACCACCCAGCCTGTGTCCCATCTCCAGGGCTCTCCAAACTCTTCATCCACTGCCTCTGTCTCCCCCTAGTTGCTGGCTGGTGTGGCGTCCAAGCCTTGGTGCCTTCTACATACCGGTGGCGTTGATTCTACCTATCACCTGGATCTACTTCTTGTGTGCGGGCCTTCACTTACGGGGTCATGTGGCCCAGAATCCAAAGCAGGGTAACAGTAGGCTCTCTCTGGAGCCAGGGGAAGACCTGAGGGGTTCCACCAGGCTCAGGAGCAGTGGCGTCCTCCTGAGTGACTCTGGTTCTCTTTTGGCTACAGTTAGCGCAGGAGTAGGGACACCTGCGCCCCCAGAGGATGGTGATGGCGTATATTCTCCTGGAGTCCAGCTGGGGGCGCTGATGACCACGCATTTCCTGTACCTCGCTATGTGGGCTTGTGGTGCCTTGGCGGTGTCTCAGCGCTGGCTGCCCCGAGTGGTGTGTAGCTGTCTGTACGGTGTGGCAGCTTCAGCTCTGGGCCTCTTTGTCTTCACGCACCACTGTGCCAGACGTAGGGATGTCCGGGCTTCCTGGCGCGCCTGCTGTCCTCCTACTTCGCCCTCGGCCTCCCACGCCCCACCCCGGGCCCTGCCGACTGCTGCGGAGGATGGATCCCCAGTGTTGGGGGAGGGACCCGCTTCCCTCAAGTCCTCCCCGAGTGGCAGCAGTGGCCGCGTGCCGCCGCCCCCCTGCAAACTCACCAATCTGCAGGTGGCCCAGAGTCAGGTGTGCGAGCAAAGTGTGGCCGTCCGCGGGGATGGAGAGCCAGAGCCTAGCGGCTCTCGTGGCAGCCTAGCTCCCCGGCACCATAACAACCTGCATCATGGGCGCCGAGTATACAAGAGTCGGGCCAAGGGGCACCGAACCGGAGAGACTGGTGGTAAGAGCCGGCTCAAGGCGTTGCGCACCGGCACGTCCCCAGGAGCTCCCGAGCTGCTGTCCAGTGAGAGCGGCAGCTTGCACAACAGCCCGTCCGACAGCTACCCAGGCAGCAGCCGCAACAGTCCGGGCGACGGTCTTCCACTAGAGGGGGAGCCCATGCTTACGCCTTCGGAGGGCAGCGACACAAGCGCCGCGCCGATCCCTGAGCCGGGGCGCCCCGGGCAGCGCCGCAGCGCCAGCCGTGACAACCTCAAGGGCAGCGGCAGCGCGCTGGAGAGGGAGAGCAAGCGCCGCTCCTATCCGCTCAACACTACGAGTCTTAACGGTGCCCCCAAAGGGGGCAAGTATGAGGATGCCGGTGTAACTGGTGCAGAGGCCATAGCGGGAGGTTGCATGAAGACCGGCCTCTGGAAAAGCGAGACCACCGTTTAGGGCCAGATTTTGGTTGGGCCGGCCATGCCGGGTTGTTATTCCCAAATCCTCCTGGGCGGTCCAAACCGTGTATGTCGGTTTAAGACGGCCACGCTGATGGCTGCCCCTGGGTCCACCATCTTTAGTTACCCAGGCTAGGGAAGGGGAAGGCAGATGCTTGCCACTACTCTAGTGGACTGTCCCTCAGCAGTAGCGACAGACAATCCCAGACCAGTTTTGATGGCCAAGTTCTTGGTATCCTCCCAGGTAGAGATGAAGCCTCCATCAGTCTCTAGGGTGACCCATAAACTGAGTGGAAGAGACCAGCCCAGGTAGACTCAGGAAATGAGAGGGAGACCAGGGAACTGTGTCATCCACGCTAGCCTGGCAAGGTATCCTGTGACTTCCAAGAAGATCCCAGGCCTCTCCCCCAGTTTTGGCTTGGGAAACCATTCTAGCAGGTGAGCCAAGGGGCACACATAACAGGTGCTGCCTTTCAGATTAACTATGCAAAGGGGTGGGAGGGGTAGGGCAGTGTGGTAGGCAGCTCTAAAGACCAGCTAGTCCCTCAAGAGGCAGGCAGGTGGGAAAGGTGCACAATTAGGGAGACATAATCCTTAACTATGGGAGTGGTACACAGTTCTTCCAGCAGCGTTCATAGCAATACCTGAACCCCACACGCCTGAGAAGTGATGCTGCCAGCAGGTGCCTGAAGACTCAAGGGGAGGGAGCTGATGTTTGGGTCTCACAACCTATACAGTGGTTTGCTAGTAGCGCCACTTAGCTGCTCAATTATAATACTCAGTGCCTGTTCCCAGCCCTCCAACTCCAGGGGACTGAGAGGAAAAGCCATGCTAATAATCTGATTCCTAACTCGTTAGAAACCTAAAATGGCAAACCACCTCCTAACTCACTGAAACCCAACCAAACTCTGAGGCAGCATGTGGGGCCAGGCTCAAGAGCCTATGCTTCCACTACCTGCTCAGAACTCCAGCCTCTATTTTCCTCAACTTAAGATGCCTTTTACTACAGAACCACATGGAGGTAGAGGAATCCTTGGGCCCTGTGAAGTAGCAGGGAACCCAGGTCTGGTCATGTGAGAACACAGGGGGAAGAATCCATACTCTTTGAGATGGGCCCCATTATTTATGCTTGCTGCACAGATGATATTAGAGGAAAATGCTTTGTATTACTCTTCCACATATGCTGGCTGCTGTTTACATACCCTGCCAATGCCTTAGCACTGGAGAGCTTTTTGCAATATGCCGGGGAAAGGGGAGGGAGGGAATGAAGTGCCAAAGAAAACACGTTTTAAAAGCTCTGGTTTTCTACAATAGAATGTTTTCCAGCAGATGCCTCTTTGTTTTAATATATTAAAATCTTGCAAAACTCTTTGAGCGACAGCTGTTGTTCACCCATGGTCCTTTTGTTAATGATGTACCGGATCTTATGAATACTCCAAACCACTAGCACCGAGACCAGACACGGGCCAGGGACTGCTGCTTATGCTCATGGTAGTTGATGCCACTAGAATGCCAGCTCATTCACAACAGCAATGCATTTACTGCACACTAGGGTAGAAGACAGCTGGACAGATTCCTTCGTCGTCTTAGGAAGGCTCCATCCTAGACTACAGACAGCTGGCTTGGTTACCTGCATCGCGGGTCAGGACTTTCCCCCCATCTTCTCTAGGACCTTGGGTCCAGTGAACTGCAAGGCTACTCTTGGTTTCTTAAAGAAAGAAATAGCCAAGGAATAGCCAAGAAATAGCCAAGAAATAGCTGTTAATAAATTGCAGTCAGAACTGAAAACACCTTAAAGAATGTGCATCAGGGAGGGTTAGGGACACTCATGGCTGCCTGGCTAGCAGCTTGGGCTCTCTCAAAGTCCCTGACTTCCTGAGGGGTGCGCAGATATTGCTCTATTTCACTATCAGAAATGTCCTCATCTCCAGTCACTACAGATTCGGGGGGCATGGCATGGGTCCGCTTGGGGGGCTTCAACATGCAGGGTGGGAGGAGGAGAGCAGGACTGGCGGGACGTTTCCTATTGGGCAAGTCGAAGGGACCATCCCCCACCTCTTCCTGCTGTTTTTGTCCCTGCTGCTGCTGCTGCTGCTGCTGCTTCTCGGACTCTACTTCTGCTGTTCCATCTCGAAAAGCCATTCGGACCAGCATGTGGCGGTGCTGGAGAAGGTCGCCAATGTGTTTCACCACCGTCCGCTTATCAAGTTTTAGAACCCGTAGCCAGGCCAGCTGGCTGGCCATCTGAAGGAGCACGGCCAGGAGCTCCTGCAGGCGAGAGGCAGCTGGGTAGGGCAGGTCCACGTTAGCCAATTTACAAAACTGGGCAAGAGAGCAGGCGAGCCGGTTTGAAGGCCGCAGAGACTGCCATGCCAGGAAGGCGGCTGCCGTGATGATGGGCAAGGGATGCCGTCCAGTCACGAGCCACGTCTCACTGGCCAGCTCCACCAACAGCAAGGTCCGAGCCAGCAGCTTGTCTTTGTCCTCCACGTATTTGGCAGGCATGGATGGGGTCACTTGGAACAGTTTGAAGCTGAAAAACCAAAGTGAGGGTCAAATGAGTGAATGACAGCGGTGCCCTCCAGGGTGAAAAGCATTGTCCTCCCAAGACAGATCGGAAGCTGTTTGTCCCGGAGACACCACAACTTGATGGGGGAGGGACTAAGGAAAGGGGGTGGGCACACACCTGCAATGCCAGCACTAGGAGGATGGGGACAAGGTGACCAGACATGCAAGAGCAGCCTGGGCTGTATGAGACTGTCTAAACAAAACAGCAACCAAAACTCCCTGTAAAACCTTAGCATCTAACCCTGATCCACCATGACTAGCATCTTCGGACTCCACAGAGAGATGACCCTGCTGGAACAGGGCCACTGTGCACCGTGACACATGGCCCCTGCCACATAATTCCAATGACTGCCATTGATAAAGCAGGAATGGGCAACTCAGCAGTACTATGCCAAGGCTGGCTAAGAGACTTTTTTTTTTTTTTTAATTATCACAGTCCTATGGTGGAAAAGGAATTTGAAATTACAACATTTTGGAATATTATAAACAGTATTAACTTGTATAAACTGTGTAAATAGTAGTACGCATAAAATAGGAAAGAACTTTGCATCCTTTGAGACAGGCTGTGGTAAAAAGCCAGCCACAGGTGAAAGAATGCACAGGATATGCCCCAACCCAGTGTTCCTCCTAGACAAGTACCTGCTGCAGTAAGACTTCACCAAGTCGGCCAGGCACAGGGATGGCACATCCAGCCCCAGGAGCTTCACTATCTGCATGTAGGTGCTGGAAAACACATCCGGATCTGCATACAGCAGCGTGCAGACAGCTCCCATGGTGAGCGGCCAGTTATGTTGCCGGCAGGTGATTAAAACACAGCATCCAACTAACACTTCCTTCTTCTGCAGCCGAGAGGCTCGGATGCCAGACAGCTGATACGCCTTTTGGTAGTAGGAGATTGCTGTATCCTCAAATGTTAGTGGCAACTTCAGAATTCGACACAGGTCTCTTACTCGACGGAGATCTAGGAAAATGCACAGCAAGCAGAGAGGTCAAAGGAAATAGTGTACAACTGCTAACAAGTTGTGCTAGGGCTTTAATTTACTTCTGTTAAACTTGTCATATATACCAGATGCACAAACAACATGCCCTTCTGTGCTACAGGACACTTGATATGGCCGTGTGTTCTGTGACGCTGGAGCTAGGCTGGAGACCCTCAACCATGCTTGGGCAAGCCTTTTATCACTAATTACATTCTTAGCCCTTTAGAACTAGGGTCCTTCCAATGCTACAGAACATTTATAGAAAGGTCAATCCACCACCTTCATATGCGTTATTTTAACTTATAGACAAGGCAAATTTTCATATTTTTGTGGGGAGGGTACTAGGGATTGAGCCTCAAGCCTTATACATGACAAGTACATATTCTATCACCGATCTACCCCCTAGCTCCAAAGCCATCCTTTTTCTCAGGCTCCTTGAGGCTACTTTAAGGCCTATGCAGACCTAAACCTTCCTTTACCTCTAATCCTTTGTGGGGTTTTTTTCCCCCCAGGACAGGGTTTCTCTGTGTAGCCCTGGCTGTCCTGGAACTCACTCTTTAGACCAGGCTGGCCTCGAACTCAGAAACCAGCCTGCCTCTGCCTCCCATGTGCTGGGATTAAAGGCATGTGCCACCATTGCCTGGCTCCTTTTGGTTTTTAAGACACACTCAGTATGTAGGCTGAGCTGACCTCAAACTCTATCCTCCTGCCTCACCCCCCCCCCACCGAAGTGCTGAGATTGTAGGCACACGCCACGTTAATAACTGTTCTCTTGCAGCCTACCTTACACCAGTAATGCTGAAAACAAGAACACACAGATGGGCTAGGTCATCAAAACAACCATCTGTAAAGCCACAGGGTCATAAAAGGTTGATACTCTGGACTAGAAAAATGGCTGAATCGTTAAAAAGCACTTGCTGCTTTTGTAGATGACCTGGGGTTTGCTTCCCACCATCCACAGGGCAGCTCACGACCACCTATAACTGCAATTCCAGATGATTCAACACCCCCTTCTAACTCCGTGGGCACCAGGCATGCACAGAGTGCACATACATGTAGTTAGAACACCCCATAGACGTAATGTCAAAATAAAATATTAAACAATGACATAAATAAAGGCAAAGCTGAAATTTAAGGGGGAGAAAAAAGGTTTGATTCTCACCTCGTTGCTGACTTCGACTAACTTGTTCGTTTTCTCCTGTGCTTCGAGAATATGTCACTTCTGTAAAACAGCAAACAACATGCATAAGGCCAGGGAGATTTCTGACTGCATAAGGCCAGGGAGATTTCAAATGACTGTGTACCAGTCCATGTAAAAAGAATAGGATAGAATTATATATTAAAAAAAAAAAAAAGCAGCACTGGAGATTCTGGTTTTCCAGTTATTTCTCTGATACACTCACTTTTGAAGGTTGCATTAGTCAAGGACTAGAGCACTGGTTCTCAACCTTCCTAACGCTGCGACCCTTTAATACAGTTCTTCATGTGGTGTCCTCCAACCATAAAATTATTTTCGTTGCTACTTCATAACTGTAATTTTGCAATAGTTACATGAAGATTTGCATTAGTTATAGAACAAATACAATTATGAATTACATTATGAATCAGAATGTAAATTGCTGATATGCAGGATGATCTTAGGTGACCCCTGTGAAAGGGTCGAAGGACACCACAGGGGTCATGACCTACAGGTTGAGAACAGCTGTATTAGAGCACAATGGCGTGGAATGTAGAGAGGTGCATTGCGCCAATTAGTGCTAAAACCTGCTATGAGATAATGGTCGGTGCTCTATTTCCAAATAACTTACCGGCACTCCTTCAACACGCACCAGGATTGGCAAGATGAATGAAACCTTTTTCGTTTCATTCATCTACCAACCCGTATACCCACCCAATCCCAGACACCGTACGTAGGTACCGGAAAAATAGATGTATCGCGCCCTCCTCCAGCTAATTTGTTCACTTAAGCCGGGTGCTCCCACATTTAACTGCGTGCATGACCAAGAAACGGAGGAAGCTAGGAAGAGGAATCTGGGTTTAAAGACTACACCGCCCAAGGCTATCCCCGGGGTTCAAGACCAGTACCTCTGAGGTTGCCCTCGTCGCTGAAGGTAGTAGTAAGGACCCCTTCGGTGACCACGCAGCCGCAGTCGGAACACACCAGCTGGCTCTGAGAATAATGCGAATCTTCCACGAGCTCAGAGGAGCCGCAATCTGGGCAGCAGCTTCCGTTCGGCATCGCATCGTTTGTCAAGTGCCGCGGTCCCGCCAGACACCAACTCCTAAAAACTCATAACTGAGCAGCTGTAGTGAAGTGGAGGGGTGCTTATTCCGAATGCACCATCCTCTTCCGGTCAGCTGGCCAATCGGCTGGTGGTTTGCCCCGCCTCTCGGTTGTATGCGACTTCCGTTCCCTTCTGTGGACTCGGGTAGAAACCTGAGTTAGAAAGGGAGGTTCCTGGGTTTAACTGTGTCTCAGGCTATCTGTTGTCTGAAGGTTGTTGGGCCACGTGGGAGTTGACCCAAACCACAGATGAGGAATTGTTGTCTGCGAAACACTATTTTTTAAAAATATTATCTAATTTATTATTTATTTTTAGACTATCATGATTATGTAGCCCTGGCTGACCTAGAATACTTATCCTTCTGCCTCCGTCTACTGCATGCTAGGATTACAGGCTTACACCACCAAGCCTGATTTAACCCCTTTTCAAAAGTGGAATCAGTTTCTCCCTTCCTATGTAGTAAGGAAGGTTAAGTTTGACCATAGTAGAAAATAGATCACTCTGCAGTGAGAGAGCAGTAAATTGTGTCGTACTTTACGGACTTCCCCACACCAAGTTGCCTTCTCTCTTTCAAAGTCTGCTTTTGTTATTGTTGTTTTCAACTATAGAAATGGAATTGAGCCGGACATGGTGGTACACACCTGTCATCCTAGTGCTTGCGAGATGGAGGCAGGATGATTAGGAGTTCAAGGCCATCCTCTATATAATAAGCTGAAGTCCAGTCTGTGCTACATGAGATGCTATCTCCGATAAATCAAAATAGCTGAGTATGGTGGCATACTGCTTTAATCCTAGCATTTGGGAGACAGAGTTTGAGACCAGCCTGGTGTACATACAGAGTCCCATCCAGCCAGAGTAACTTAGTGAGAACCTGTCTCTAAATAAATACAATAACATGAATTAAAATCTTGAGTGGTAGACTTAGATATCCTCAGAGAATAACATGTAAAACCATAGTTCTCACCTCAAAGAGGATACACAAAAGTTTATGCTAGAGCCAAAAAGAGAGACTAGACCTCAGGAATAGATAGATGGAATTTTCTCCAAATAACACACAGAACTGTATAAGTGGTTCCATGAAGATTGCATTAGTTTTAGAACAATGAGAGCCATATATAATACAATGATGGGAGCCACTGGTAAGCATGTTACAGGATATGGGGACACCTTTTCCCTGGGTTTCAGATGCTATCTGATGCCATTAGAGCTTCTGGATTGGTAGAAGCTAGGAGTTGGCTAAGAATACATTTTAAATTGTTGGATTTTGTTGTTGGTTTGGTTTGGTGGTTGTTGTTGTTTGTTTTGTTTTGAGACAAAGTTCACTATGTAGCTCTGGCTGTCCTGGAACTCACTATGTATACAAGGCTAGCCTTAAACTCACAGATATCTGCTTGCCTGTCTCTACCTCCTGAGTGCTGGGATTAAAGGCATGTGCTACTACATCTGGCCTTCAATCTGTCACAATATCTTACACACACACAGAGAGAGAGAGAGAGAGAGAGAGAGAGAGAGAGAGAGAGAGAGAGAGAGAGAGAGAGAGAGAGAAGCGCTAAGCATGTTCTCTCTCCTTCAGCTTTTGGCAAACTGGAAGATACAGGCCAATTCAGACACGTTTAAAGCCTTGAACTTTGAGCTATCCTTGTGGCACACACCTTTAATTCTAGCACTCAAAAGGCAAAAGCAGACAGATTTCTGTGAGTCCAAGGGCAACTTGTTATGCATAGTGAATACCTGGCCAGCTAGGGCTAGCTAGACCCTCTCTTAAAAATTTTTTAAGAGAGAAAAGGAAAAAAAAAACCTCGAACTTTAATATAATATGCCTGTTGTTCCAGGGAAGTTAGAGGCAGAAGAATCAAGAGTTAAAAACAAGAGGCTGGAGAGATGCCTCAGGGGTTAAGAGCACTGGCTGCTCTTCCAGAAGTCATGAGTTCAATTCCCAGAAACCACACGGTGGCGCACAATCATCTGTAATTGGATCCAATGCCCTCCTTTTTGTGTTTTGGTGACAGTGTGCTCATATACACAAAAATAAATAAATAAGTAAATAAATAAATAAATAAGTCTTAGAAGAAAAAAAAGTGTTACAAACAAGCCTGGCCTACTGGAAACCGTGTCTTAAAAAAAACAACTAAAGTAAACAAATAAAAAAGTTAAAATAAAACCTAAGCTATAAGATGCCCTAAGATTCTGACTCTAGACTTAGTTTCATATAGGTCAAAGAATCCTGAATAAAATACTGCTTTTAGTGATACCATTACAAAAGTCAAATTACAAGTTGGATGTGCGCCGGGCGGTGGTGGCGCACACCTTTAATCCCAGCACTTGGGAGGCAGAGGCAGGCGGACTTCTGAGTTCGAGGCCAGCCTGGTCTACAGAGTGAGATCCAGGACAGCCAAGGCTACACAGAGAAACCCTATCTCGAAAAAACCAAAAAAAAAAAACCAAATTGGATGTGCCTAATGTGTTGGTGCCATTGTTCCAAACATCTATGTTGGAAACTTAGTCCCCATGGAAACAGTATTGGGAGGCAGGGTTTTTGGGAGAGGTTACAACCATGATGGCTCTGCACTTAAGAATGGACCAATACAGTATAAAAGGATATATCCCATTTGCCCTTCAGCCTTCTGCCCTGTGAGGACACAGGATTCCATTCCTCTGAAGGATGTAGTCTTAAAGACTCTCTCTTGGAGAGAGACAGCAGCCCCCACCAAACACCAAGCTTGTGCCTTGATCTTGGACTTGCCAGGACTGTGGGAAAATAAATTCTTGTTTCTTATAAGTGACTCAGACTTGAAAGTATTCCGTGTGGCAGCATAAATTAAGACATGTGGTGATACATAAATATGAGTTTAAATTGAACAACAAAAGTGTTTGTTTTTTTTTTTTCGAGACAGGGTTTCTCTGTATAGCCCTGGCTGTCCTGGAACTCACTCTGTAGACCAGGCTGGCCTCGAACTCAGAAGTCCGCCTGCCTCTGCCTCCCAAGTGCTGGGATTAAAGGCTTGTGCCACCACCGCCCAGCAACAAAAGTGTTTTTTAAGAGGATTTATTTTTAATTACATGTATATTTCTGTGTATAGATATTTGTATACCTGTGTAGATATCCTTGGATGCCAGAAGAGGGTTTTGGACCCCCTGGAGCTGGAGTTACAGGCAATTGTGAGTTGTCAGACACAGGCCTTGGTAATTAAACTCAGGTCCTTGGCAAAAGCAGCAAACATTTTTAAACACTTAGACATCTTTCCAACTTTTTGCATTTTAAAGTAGGAGGCCATAGGGCTGGAGAGAGGGCTCAGTTGTGAAGAGTAATTGACACTATTCCAGAGGACCTGAGTTTGGTTCCTGGTACCCACGTTGGGCAGCTCACAACTGCTTGTACCTCCAGCTGGCCTCCAAGGGCACCCGTAGGTGTGTGCGTGCACACACAGCATACACTTACACAGGCATATGCATATAAAAATAAAATAAGCCTTGAAAATTAGAGGATCCTGTGTATTCCAGCATGACCTCAAAGGAGCCTAGTAGCCAAGGATGACCTTGAAATGTTAACTCTACTGCCACCACGTCCAAAGGGCAGGAATTACAGGCACATGTCACCACACCTGGTTGATAGTGTTTTATTTTTTAAGATTGTATTTTCAAATTGTGTGTGTGTGTGTGTGTGTGTTCCAGTAGATGTGTGCACATGTGTGTGCAGGTGCATGTTCACAAGGTTGGCCATACGGCAGAAGAGGCAGGAGGTGGGGGTCGGGGTCTGATCCTCTGTAACTTGAGTCACAGGTATTTGGGAGCTACCTGATGTGAATCCTGAAAACACAGCCTGGCTTTTTGTAAGAACAGTAGGTGCTCTTAACTGCTCAGTCATCTCTCCAGCCTCTGAGGTTATCTTATAAACCAAGCCTAATTGCATTCACTGGGTTAGCTCAGCAATAGAACACTTGTCTATCAGCATCGTGTGTTTGATACAACAACACACACAAGTGTTTTAGAAGACACGATCTAGCTATATTGCCCAAGATAGTATCAAACTCCTGGGCTCAATGCCAGGTGGTGGTAGCAGCCTATGCCTTTAATCTCAGCACTCTGGAGGCAGAGGCAGGTGGACCTCTGTAAATTCAAGGCCAACCTAGTCCACAGAGGTAGTTTCAGGACAGCCATAGCTACACAGAGAAAGAAACTCTATCTAAAAACAAACAAAAAAGCTGGACAGTGGTGTCGCACGCCTTTGATCCCAGCACTTGGGAGGCAGAGGCAGGCAGATTTCTGAGTTCGAGGCCAGCTTGGTCTACAGAGTGAGTTCCGGCTATACAGAGAAACCCTGTCTCGAAAAACCAGAGAGAGAGAGAGAGAGAAAGAGAGAGAGAGAGAGCGCGCAGCACGGACTCATTGGCACCAGGGCTTCAGGTTTGTGGAGAATCCTGCTTCTCAGGCTCACAACGGAGAACATGCAGACTTTACAGGTGGTTGTTAACTCATTTTCAGCCTTGCATTGGAGGGGCAATGTGAGACCAATCAGAAAACTATTGTACAGAATTAACTCCAGATAGTGTCTTACTAACTTCTTCATAAATAATGGTCCTCTCTTAAGAGTATAGCTACCTTCTTCAGATAAACAACAAACCCAAAAGGGAAACGATGCTTATTCATCAAGAGCCCAGGTGTAACAGTGACCACGTTCAGGGTGAATCCTCATCTATAAGAGCAGAGCCTCCGGAAGACAGGTTTGAGGAGGGAAGGCTGGCTGCTCTCGTGAGAGGTATAATCAGGAGTGAGATGCAATGGGTTTCCATTGAGTCCAATGAGACTGCGTATTCCAAGAACTATAGTTGAGAAAAGGGGCAGCTTGCTGAGCAATGTTTATAACTCAGCCATTTGTCTTTCCCTTCTCGGATGACATTTCCCTCTAATATAAATTTGGAAAGAGGTCTTAGGCCTTGCAAGAATTATCTGCAGAGCAGACACTTCTTTTACAACCTTTATTTAGAGGAGCAGTGGTGGTGTACGCCTTTAATCCGG